ATATTATGAAATATATTTTGATCTGAATTACCTACTTCATGGACTCATTTCTCCACTCAGAGTTGGGAGCCACAACCTTAGTTGACAAGTGCTTGTATGTAGCCTGTCTCTACCACAGGAATTTTCTGTTTAGGTATGTCTAAAGGAATAAGTCCCCACCTAGAATATTTACTAGCAAACTGACTCTCCTTCTTGGTAAATGTTTAATCTCTTGAGTGCAAAGTTCACATTGTCCAAGACTTTCCTGAGCACTACAATAGGCCATCACACAACATCGTTAGCCATGCTATTTATGGAAAACCACAACTGGACTTTCCAATGGTTTCCAAGATTACGTAGAATGAAAGAGCTTTGCCTCATATTAATGACTAATATTTTTATTGGCATCGGTTCAGCGTGACTAACTATCTGATTTTGTTTTTAATGCAGACTTTTTTTAAGACTTGGTTAAAAGTGATTTCCAATTATAGGCACTAAATATGCATAACAAAAACCACAGCCTCAGACAGATTCACAGTAATATCTTTGAGCTTCTACTTGTTCGAATGAACCACTGTAAAGAGTTTTCAAAAGAATAGTGTTTTATTTTCTGTAGAGATAGTTTTTTTAATTTCCCACTGGTAAGGTTTTAGGGCTGGTCACGTGACATTAGCAATTCCCACACACATACCAGGATTAATGCAGTAGGTATTGTCTTTTGTATAATTATGGTTAAACAATGGTACATTTTGTTTCCAGTCTACCCATATAAATTTATTATTTGAGGAGGCCTGAATCTTATACCAGTCTGTAATCATTCTTTTCCCCTCCATCACCAATTTCTAACCCCCAAGCGTCCAGCCACTCAATTCCTAACTTACTCCTAACTCAATGTCTTTACTCAGTCCAGAAAAATGAAGTAGCATAAAACGTGGGCAGTTAGAACAGCTGTGGGAAGTTAAGTTGGATGGCCTCCCACTGGGCCAGCGCTGTGGCAGGCAGATAAAAGGAAGCAATCAAAAGTTCACAGGCAGCTCAATCATCCTTAGAGGAGGGAGGAGCAATGGCCTCTTGCTGCTGTAAGATGGAAACGAGGCGCTCAAAGGAGAGTACAGGATGCTGTCCTGCTTGGGCAACTGACCTGCTCCCTGAGCCACAGGCATTCCCCACTGGGTCCCAGACAACTAATCCCATTTTGCTTCCTTCCAAGCCAGCACTCTCACTGGCACCAAAAAACAAACAAACAAACCGGCAAGCACAAGGCCAGAGGGTGGGAGCAGATGGAAACAGCTGAAGAGTGGGGCCAATTTACAGGACAGACACAGGCCTACGTGCCTAACAAACTCCCGGAACAGCCTCCACAAGCTGAGTCATCATACTGATATAGTAACAAAACCCTCTTTTCCTTACTTTGCTCAAAATCTGTTTTTTGCCCTATTCCACCATAAGCACACTGAAAACAGACATCTTACTCATCTTCCACCCCCTCCCACCACCATAACTTATATGCAGAAAGTTTGCAAATGCCTTGACTTTACAAGTTATTTTGCAGACACTGCTCCCTTATAAAAGATGAGCTTTTTTTGTAAGTCATCATCTTCAGTGGTTACATCAATGGTAAGTCTCAAGTCTACTCTGGCTGAGAGTATTATGGCTATTATTCAGTGCTAAGAGTCACAGCTGTCCCTACTTCATTCCTCTTTTATTAAATCAGAGGAATAAAGAAGAAGCTGAAACTGGGGCTTCAACAAGCTATTTTTTTTTTTAACTTTTCATTTTATATTGGAGTATAGCCAATTAACAATGCTGTGATAGTTTCAGGGGCTCAGCAAAGCAACTCAGCGGAACATAAACATGTATCCATTCTCCTTCAAACTCCAATCTAGGCTGCCACATAACACTGAGCAGAGTTCCCTGTGCTATACAGTAGGTCCTTATTGGTTTAAAGACAGCTGAAACTTTGTATCTTCCCCTGTGGAACTGAAGCTAATGAAGGTAGGTAAGGATAGTTCTTGCCCTCCATCCACACCAGCCTTACCCATTATTCTCAGGGATACATTCTTAGATCACTGTCCTTGGTACAACAGCTTGCGTTAGCCTCACAATTCCTCCATATTTGGAATGATTATTCAAAGTCTTCTACTACTTCTTTATTATATACATAGTTATTTTTAACTATTTACAGTGCATTTGGGGGCTCAGTAAAAAGATAAAAAGTGCTAGATGGTGAGGATATGGGAATATATCTATAATTTTACATGAGTTGTTTCAGAAATAATTTTTGTTTATAAATCTCTGTCCTCTAAGTTAGGTTTTCCTAACAAAGCATTGGTGTTTAAATCAAATTCCCAATAGGAGTTAAATAAGTCTCCTGTTTTAAAAGTAGCGAGCCATAACATCTACCCCTATATAGTATATAGTATTCACCTTCCACTCCCCAACCCTGGATTTAATTCCTCAAAGCCCTGAAAGCATTAGAATTTAATATTCAGTGCCTATCATAAGCTTTCACATACTGATCAATTCACACCTTTCCAATCTAATCTGCAAGAGCCACAACAATAACATCCATCTAGACAAAGTGGAAAGAGAGAAACAGAGCAAAGTTGAAATATCAAGTTCACCACAACGGGGGGAAATCGCCTACCATCCATCTGCCTGCAAGGTCAAAGAGCATAATGATCAAAAACGCCCACCTCTACCATTACTCCATGTGGCTTCCAGAAGGAATTTTAAGTAAGAAGCTTAAAGGAGATTGTGAAATATGCAGAAATATATTTATTGCACTGTTAAAAAGTAAAAGACCAACTAGAAGCAGTCTGAGTGTACTAAAGAGATTATTTCATAAATTCATGTACATGAACCTATGGAATATTTTAAAATCATAAAATCATTAAAAATTACAATATCTATAAAAACCCAGAAGTATTTACTAGAATCCTCTTTATAAAGGAGAAGTAACAAATTATATACAATATGTAGTTATATGTAGTAAAACTATATTAATTATATTAGAAAAAGATACACATAAGTGAAAAAGTTAAGTTTATAAGGAAAATTATATCATTTATACAACAATTTAACCGAAGGTTTACCATGAGTCAGACCCTGGGTCAGGTGCTAAAGTGAAATGATTGAAAGCAAAAAAAAGAAAAAGATCTGGCCTCTGCCTTCTTGGATTTTACAGTCTCATTACTAAGTGAAAATAATTGCTGTTATGTGAGTATGTGGGTGTTCTTTCTTTCTTCTAAATAATAATGCTACTATATTAGTATTTTAGTAATATAACCAAGGCTTTTGTCTGGTGAGGTGTATTCCAAAGCCAATGTTGGGGGCTAGACATTTATGACACAAACGTCATGAAATGGCACACAGGATGACAATTGTTCCAGCTGTCAGTGTCACGTGATCACTGATGCTGGCCTGCCGCATGTTTCCTGTAAAGAGGAGGAAGTCACGCTGCCTGAGGCCCAGGTGGCAGCCCTCTCCCTCCTTCCTAGGGGCTCCCTACCTACACCTCAGCCAAGTCAGGCTCAGCTGCCTCTCCCCACAGACCTTAGGGCGTATAGAGCCCCTCATGATCCCAAGACCACCCACCTCCACACCCCCTCAGCATACCTAACACTCTAAAGGAGCAGACAAATCAAGCAACCACCTGGCACAGCTCCTCTGAAAGAGGCCAGCTGGGCCATGTGACGACTGCACAACACGCACCCCACACCAGAAACAGCTTGTGTGAGGGCTGTGCACGTGATTTCTCCAGATGGAACTTTTGTGAATGTAACAAGCTAAAGCCGCACAATGAATCGGAAACTCATTTGGCTTATCTTCTCCTGAGAGTTCTTTCCTTTCACAGCTAGGTTTGGACCTGATACTTTAGGTTTTCGAAAACAATAAAAATGTATTTTTTAGAAATACATATATGACTGACAAAACTATATAAGAAAAAGAAAAGGCAGAGGAAGGAGAGGAATATGATTGTGGAGAAGCATGTCAGGGATTCCAAAGCCCTGCTACTCAAAGAGAGGTCCGTGGACTACTGACACTGACATCACCTTCAAGTGTGTTAGAAACACAGAATCACACACTCCATCTGAGACCTTCTGAATCATAGTCTGCACTTAATGAGATCTCCAGGTGTATCATATACACATTTAAGTTTGGGAGTCACTATTCTAAATGCTTGTAATATTCTATTTTTACCTGGAAGGTAAGTACACTTAGTATATTATTCTCTAAAATGTATGTACATATTTTATAGTCTTCTGATTGCGTGACTCTAATCCAGCCTACAAACGGACCCCATGTCTATAAACTGGCATGTAGGGATTGTTAAAATGTGGGGAAAAGAATGCTACATGAATCTGATCTTCAAAGAGTAAAAACTCAGATACAGATAAAACTTGAGACCACATAACCCAACCTCTTCACTTATGGGAAATGAAACCATCCGATTCAGGAAGGGGTATACCTTCCCCAGGGTCAGATTGCTAAATATCTGTGGCAAAATCATATGAGGGCTCAAGTCTCCTGATCCCCAGTAATGTTCTGTGTCCTACACTAATACTGGTTAATACGTCCTGACTGATTTTCTTTCTTTATAAACAAATACTAAAGTTAAAAGAGAAATCAGTATTAAGTTTAAAAAAAAAGTAAGCTAATTCTTAAACCAGTACCTTGTACATTTAATGGCAGATGACCAATATGTATTTGTCTGAATGAATGATTCACTTTGAGGCAAAGAAAAACAGTGTTATCCACATCTTCTCAAAGGGCTGAGCTGAATTATAGAATGGTTAAGTAATTTCCTTATGGAAAAAAACCACAGAGCTCAATTTTAAAACAATTCATAATACTCTCCACAGAAACCAAAAATATCGCCCTTATGCTTTTAGCAAAGTCAGAATATTTGACATATTTGGTATTTGGGTGTGTGTATCTGTTTGATTTCAATCAAGTCATTATCTGAAGTAAGACTCTTAAAATTATTACTTAGAATATTGAAAAATATCACAACTCACCAATACTAATTTCATCATCTGTTTCAGCATCACCAATACATTCAAACTGGAAATCTTGCAGTGACTGGGAAAATTTCTGTACTGCCATAGACAGATCTGTAATTAAAAGTTTAAAAAAAAATCGTAAGTTGAAGGTACAATACCATGGAATACTCAAGAGTTTCCACATGTATTTACATAACTTTGCTGCTAATGCTATATTGACCAGAACCTTTTTAAATACCAGCTTGACAAATTTAAGCAGAATTTAAAGAGACCACTAAAGAAATATTTTAGGGATTAGATCTGCTCTGCCTCCAAAGCAGATTTGCCCCTTTAAAAAGTTTTGGTGCCAGTTGTGTATTATCTGGAGGCCAATTTCCCAAAGCCTTTATCAAAGAATTACCATTCATTCCCTATAAATGGAGCATTTATTAAAAAAAAAAAAAAGAAGAAGAAGAAGAAGAAGAAGAAGAAGGAATGCTACCAAGGTTACTGGTGGGAAAAAAAAAGAAAAGTAGCGAACCTTTGATTAGAAAGGGTCACCGATGTTATCCTATACAGATAGGGAATGTGGAGCACATAGGGTATGTGTTTTTACCAATAAACACATTCTCATTCTAAGGTGAAAGGCCAAGAGAAAAGTTGTTTACGAATAACCTTGTGATTTATAGGAGACCTCAAGCTAAACATACTCCTCAGTCCTGACTTCAGTCTGAACAAATTCCAGAGAGTGACTAAATCCAGAAGAAGAATTCTTCCTTAATCATGCAGAGAATAAAGAAAAGCCCATAATAATGAGAAGTAAATTGCTGGGAGGCAAAAGCCTAGGATGCAACCTAACAGTGACTAAGAATGCAGACTCTGGAGCCAAGACGGCCTGGGTTGAAATCCAAGTCCTACCATTTACTCATTATGTGACCATGGGCAAATTTTTTTAACTCCTCTGGGCCTCTATTTCCTCATCTGTAAAGAGTGAATAACAGTAGTATAACCACTTTATAGAGCTGTTTTGAGGACTAAGTAAGGTAACATTTGCAAAGTGTTTAGAACAGAACCTGGCACTTAATAAGCACTATTTATGTTTGTTAAATAAAATTAAATCAATCTGACAGTGAAGCATCAGGGAAACTTTAGAGGTCCCACCTCTCAGAGCTACTGTGATCTTCCATGCTAACCCTTCACAGAAGTCTATGCCCGTAGGAAACACATTTTTATGGAAGTCTGTCTACACTTTATTTAATGTTATCTCCCATCATTCAATTCTGATACCTTGAATGCTTAACTTTTAATTCAAGCAATAAGGACTTGACAAATACTCTCTCCTTGGCCAATCTTCAGTCAGGCTCCTCTGAGCCCTCTTCTTGACTATGCCTCTACTTTGGCTCTCTGTCCTCACTGGGCCTATGTAGACCAGTTTTAGCAAAAATCCTGCCAAGTCAGTTTAGAGAATATCTAAACTGATATCTGATCAAATTCCCCATCCCCCACCTTTGATGCTTAAGCCCTTGACCTGCCTTCACCAAGAATCCTCTGAACCTTTACATCTTCTCCTCTTAGTAACTTTCCATCCACTGACAGCCCCCCCAGCCCCGCCACCCAACATGCTGCTCGGCTATAAATCCGCATTTGTTCTTGTTGCATTCAGGGTAGAGACTGAACTCTCTCCCCTATTGTGACACTCTCAACATCTACAGCATCCGACCTGAATAAAGTCCTCCTTATGATTTTAACTACCATCAGAATCATTTTTCTTTAAGAGAACAATTATGGCCCAATGCCTAGACGTGACACCAGGACTTAATGTGGTAACCCACCACTCATGAAACTGCAAGCCCAGGTACCAATCACAGTAAACACCCATGAGTGAATAGGTCTCCAAACAAGGTCATTTACTGCACCATGTGAATCAAGAACTCACCAACATCCTCACCAACAGGAATTCTGAAGACCACAGGTCTTGAGCCTCAGAGAGGCTTTTAACACACACACACACACACACACACACACACACACACACACACACACACACAAAGACTGAGATTTTTTAAAATCTTGTTTGAAAAAATAAATTGTGCTCTGGAAAGAGGGTATTACTACTCACAGACTAACACCTTTTCCCAAAAGAGGGGAATGTGCCAGCTGCACATTCTACTTAAGAGGTACTTTGGATTTAGGAGAATAGAAAGGTCTATCAGCTTAAGAATGGTTCTGCTTTGGGCTCTCAGGAAGAAAGATGAAAAGAGCCTCCTTAGTGGATTGTTAGTCAATGAGAAAAACAAAGGCTTCATCAGAACTAGACTTCACCAATTGGCTGTGAGGCCCTAGACAAAGCATTCACCCTTCAAAAGACCTGGTTTTCTTACCTATGGAACAGAGAAGGAATACTCATCTCACAGGTTGTTATAAAAACTAAATGAGGTCTGTGCCTGGTACAGACTAGGCAACTTAATAAATGGCATCAGTTGTTATCATTCAAGCCCAGCTCAAAAGGTGGGAAAGTTGACTGGCCTTCCAGAAAGAAGGGACCCATGCATGCAAAAGTATGCACTTATCTGACATTGCATAGCTCTGGCTAAGGGTAAAGAAATCATAACACCTATATCAAATGTTATGAGAAGACAAAAAAAAAAAATCAGACTCCTAGGATAATTTTTAAGCCAAACTGTGCGCAGGTACTCTCTGTGAGAAAGGGGAAAAACATTCCATTTAATGTTTATTTTTCCATGTACAATATACAGGCCTTATGCTAAACTGGATTTGAAGTCACAGATGGAATTCCTAAAGCAGAGTGGGGGTAGTAGGTAATATGCGTAGATCAGGATGCTTAGGAATCCTGTAACAGATAGCCTTCCTTCTCTCCCCTCATCACCACAAGTTCCTCTGAGTTTCCCCTCAAACTCAAGGAGATACCTGGAAGCTTTGTCCTAGGGCAGGGGTCCCCAACCCCCAGGCCAGGGCTGGTAGTGGTCCGTGGCGTGTTAGGAACCAGGATGTACAGCAGGAGGTGAGACGCGGGCAAACAAGCGAAGCTTCATCTGTATTTACAGCCACTCCTCATCACTCCCATTACCTCCTGAGCTCCGCCTCCTGTCAGGTCAGTGGCGGCATTCGATTCTCATAGGAGCTCAAACCCTACTGTGAACTGTGCACACGAGGGATCTAGGCTGCGCACTCCTTATGAGAATCTAATGCCTGATGATCTGGCTGGGGAGAGGCTTCAAATACAGATTATCATTAGCAGAGAGGTTTGACTGCACAGAGACCATAATAAATCATTTGCTTGCAGACTCATATCACAGCCCTATCAGTGAGTGGCAAGTGAAAACAAGCTCAGGGCTCCCACTGATTCTGCATTATGGTGAGGTATATAATTATTTCATTATATATTATGATGTAATAATAATAGAAATAAAAAGTACACAATAAATGTAATGTGCTTGAATCATCCTGAAACCATCCCCCCTACCCCAGTCTGTGGAAAAATTGTCTTCCATGAAACCGGTCCCTGGTGCCAAAAAGGTTGGGGACCGCTGTCCTAGGGAATTCCTGACATAAAACCCCAGAACCAAACATTTCTTCCTAGACCATTCTTTGCTTCCCATGGCCTTGCTCCTTGACTGAGAAAGGTAAGCTGCTTCGTCCTTTCACAGAGATCTCAGTGAGTACACTGTAAAAATTCCCATGCCTGAACAAGAACACAGGAGCCCACTGCCCATATAGCCAAGGGATTGAGAGTATGAGCTCTAGTGGCAGATTAAATGAGTTAGCTTCCCGCTTCTACCAACCAGTGGCATGATCATGGGCAGCCTTCATAACCTCTCTGTACCTTATCTGTTAAGTGGAACAGAACCCATCTCTCAGGGTTATTGTGAGGAGTAAATGAGTTAATATAGATGAAGCATTTAGAACAGTGTCTGACATACAGCTAAGCACTTAAAACGTGTTGGCTGTTTCCCTGTTGCAAGTCTCAGAAAAGAAAGGAAAAGGGAAAATTTCAGGAATGAAGGTGGCAGCTGTAAGGCCTTAGACAACCTTGGAAAGTACTCAATAAAACAGTCTGTTGATTGCAGTTTCAAATTCTCTCTTGGTGCACTGCAATCATGCCGTGACAGAGACTACCTGATTATTCAGTATTTCTGTGTAAGAGATTGGTGTCTATTTCAATGCTGGATAGAATCAAGAATTCATGAATGATCTTCATGAAGCATAATGAGACATAATGAGACAGGACTATACACGAAAATATGCTTCTCAACTAGTTCAGATAATCCCCAAAATAAAGGGGAAGTTCGAAAAACGACTTATTTTCAACTTCAAGTATCATGAGTTCTTGATTTTCCTTTTGTTTGTTCTCATTTTCCAAAAACCAAAGTAATGATGAGGTCAAAACTGTGACCAAGGTAAAGAACTTATGATACTTTCTGGCAGTCATATGAATCCATCTGAAAAATGAGGAATCCAGTTCACACTTCTAATTTTGGCTCCATCTCCCACTGAGTGCAGTTCTGAACTAGAAAGAACAACACCTTTCACTGACTTATAACTCCATGGAACACACTCTTCCCTAATTGTCTAAGATTTCTAAACAATGGTCAGATGCACAAAAGAGAAGTACTGGTACTAAACCCTTGTAAATAAAATTGATTCACATCCAGTTATATAGACCTTGAATTTAAAACCTAATTCAGTTCTTAAAGTTTACTGTTGAATTTTAAAGTATCAAATTGTGTAATGATAGAATCTACATTTCTCTTAAATACAAAAAGAAAGATCAAATGTATAAAGCATTACAAGCAGGGAATCTAGCATAGGCAAGACTGTCTCTTTCTCCCTATTTCTACTCAACTATTAGAACATGAAGACAAACAAGGAAAAAAATCCCAGTCAGAGACACCCTGGCTATATTCAAGGTGAAGGTGGAGGAGTAACATTTACTAGGGGTCAAAGTTGTACATAGTAAAGATGTTGCAAGTATTACTCATATCATATCCTTTCTATTTACCTAATGAGTTAAGCACAGGGTGTCTTCACATGTATTCACATTATAAATTGGAAGAATTACAGTAGGCTTTAATTAGTCAGCAATGTTTTTATATCAAAGAGTTAACCCGCAG